GCAGCGGGACAGCAAGCACTCCCTTATCGACTAATCGAGTAAATGATGGAAATTCCATCACCTACTCGATTAGTTCATTAATCAAAATTTAACATCCCTATGCCCTTGTAGCCAAGAAGGCTAATGGCATATTGGAGTGCATTGGGGGGCATTGCCAGCAGATCTAGAGAAGTAATTATTGGGCACTGGTGCGGCCACATCCAAAGTATTGCGTCCAATTCTAGCCGCCCTTTCCCATTACAGAAAGGATGTGGACTCATTGGAGAGAGTCCAGCAGAGGGCAGCAAAAGTGATTAAGGGGCTGGATCACATGTCTTCTGGGGAGAGGCTCAGGGATTTGGTCTTATTTAATCCACAGAAGGATGGGGTGGGGGATGGGGGAAGAGATTTGATAGCAGCCTTCAACTTCCTGAAGGGGAGGTTCTAAAAAGGATGGAGAGAGGCTTCTCTCAGTTGTGATAGGTGACAGAACGAGGAGCAATGGTCTCAAGTTGCAGTTGAGGAGGTTTAGGTTGAATATTAGTGAAAAAATATATTTCCTTAGGAGGGTGACAAAGCACTGTAATGGGTAGCCTAAGGAGGCAGTGGATGCTCCATCCCTAGAGGTTTTTAAGAGCTTAAAGGCCTGGCTGGGATGATTTAGTTGGGATTGACTCTGCTTTTAGCAGGGGGTTGGACTCAATGACCTTCTGAGGTCTCTTCCAACCCTATGATTAGTCTACATCCAATTTAGACAAGCTGCTATGAGCAGTGAGTGGCCATAAAGTTTTTAAGACCGAAACATCCTCCTGCACCTCAAAACAACCACTGTTGATAAATGGCTAGCTTAAATCCATATTCCCCTTTCCTCTTACCCATACACAAGGACTAGAGGACCACATGCCCAGTAGTTACAGTAAAGGATTGCGATCCAAGTCCTGGCCAGTAATTCACACTGAGCCTATGAGTCACTATGTTATGTAACCTCAGAGAAGGCATTTTAGTTCACTGTACCTCTTTCAGCCAACCTGAAGAATGGTGTAAAAACACAAGGCCCCACTGAAAGACATATGCTGCATCGATACACAACTTTATGCAACACAAAAAAACAGCTTAATTTTCAAGTGAGTTGTTAAGGTAAAAATACTATGTCAGAAAGAGAGACTTAAGGCTTTTGCCTAGCCAAGTTATTCTCGGACTCCACCGTCTTTCTAAATCCCAATCCCTGTGTTTTCCTTCACATTGCACAATTCTAACTATGACATTCCACAGCAAGAGACAATGCTTTCAATATTTGTTCCCGGATTCTGCTGCACGCTGCTGAATAGTTTGAGCGTAGCTGCAGTTCAGTGGTAGGTTAAATTATTACAGTATCTCTAGGTCAACATCATAGAGACCTTACAATAGGTCAAGCTCTCATGTGAGCTTTGGAAGGACCCGGAATAACTGCAGAATTAGGTCGCTGGAGTTTCAAATGCTTTGGGATGTTACCCAGTGTAAGGTATTCTAGCAATGCCCATGCCCCGTCGCTTCCATCTTTTAAGCATGAGCATGGTAACTGCATTAACCAGACAAGTGACTGAGAGCTACAGGATCAACAGGTTGTTGAGTATTACTTGCCTTAACATCTCTACCAGATGTATTTATGGCCAATCGAACTAACTGTTCTGGGTAGTTTCCTGTATAGTTTCAAAGCTATTTTCACTGGGGGGGGGAGGGAGGGGGGAAGAAGGGAGTAGCTAGATGACCCACCCTGGGGTAGGTGAAAGGGAAAAATAACCCCAAATTTGACCACATTTTTGCCTTGAAGGACTGCCAAAAATGGGCTTGAACCAACTACTAGAGAATGCAAATTCCGTAAGGCAAGGACATTGTACTGGCAGTATATGGGGGAAAATAGCCAGCAGGATTCCTACAGCCAGCCAGCCTTAATTAGGAATGTTAGATATTGTGTAAGTGAATTGTCTTAGTTACATGACTGTTCGATAGTCCTACTCCCAGGGAAGGGGGAGATGCATGTAGTTCACAAGATTAACCGATAAGTCTAGGCCAGTGGTCACCAACCAGTAGATCAGGATCTACTGGTGGATCTTGGAGCCTTTGAAAGGTGATCCCGACAGGTTTGGCCAGGAGGCTGTCAAGTGCAGCACTTCATCTGCCCCTCTAATCAATGCAGTGTTGCTCCTTCCCTCTGCCTTGGCACTGCCACCGGGAGCCTCTTGCTTGCTGTGCAGGGCACGGGAAAAAGAGGAGGGATTGCTGATGTCAGAGTGGCCCTCCCTCTACCCCATCTCCACAAAGCAGAGGGGGGAGAGACATGGAGAGAGTTTGGCCCTGCATCACATCCAAAAGCAGACACCAGAGTAGGGGTGACCCTGCCTTAGTCTCCTGCACCACCACCCAGAAGCCACCTGTGGTAAGCAGTGCCCAGCTGGAGCCTGCATTCCAACCCCATCCCCAGTCCTGATCAATGTCTGCATCCCCCTCCCCTGCATCCCAGCTCTCCGCCTCCAGCCTGATAAAAGTGAGTGAGGATGGGGGAGGAGGGGGGAGGATGGAATGAGCAGGGGTGGGCCTTGGAGAAGGGGCAGGAAGGAGGCAGGGCAAGGGTGTTTGGGTTTTAAGTAAATCCTGGATTGCACTTTAATTCAAAAAGTAATGTCATGCTTAAAAAGGTTGGAGACCACTGGTCTAGGCTTATCAGTTAATTGTGTGGTCATCTACACGATGACTTCCCTAGCCTTAACCAAGGCTAAAGTATATTATAAGTGAAGAGCTAAAGCATCCAGTTGTCAAGGCATTTAGGTAAACCTTTCATTTGTAGCTGGAAGCGGACAGGCATTTGCTAATAATGGTCTGTCCAACGAAGACAGGCCACATTCTGCACTAACTGGTTCCTTTTAATCCTTTTGTCACCAGGCAAAACTTCCCAAATACAAAATTAAGTTCTCTAAAAAAAGATCACATACACCAAAGCCATTTACTGCGACACCACCTAGCACCTTGGAACAACACACGGTGCATCATAATTTAAATAAAAACCCAGCAAGGTTTTAATCACTCCCACATCAATAAGAATGGCAGCATATATATCCTTCCAACATTGGATTGCTAATGCAAGAGTCTTCCCCTGGGAGGCTTTATACCATCATCTAATACAAATTTCTCTTCTCAAATTTCACTGGCAAAACCAAGAACAGTCCAATAAGGATGTAGCAGAATTAATCACCCTTCAAGACATGACTTGAGCCCTTTTTTAGTGGTGTCTGCAGAACGCACATAGCACACATTTGTATTCAAGTTTTTATTGCTGCCAGAAAGAAGGGCAAAAAAAAATCTTCACGACACAATTATGGTTCTATAAATACATGGACGAATTCTCTGGCATCCTCGGTTTAATAGCTCTGCTTAGAGGTCAGACTTTGTAGGTGATATAATGCAGTGTGTATTTTAATGAGGATGTTTGCATTAAGTGTCAGTTTGGCAGCGAACAAAAGGTGAGTTACATCAATACTGTTTAAAAAAAAAAAAGGAAGCCAAAAGGTGGCTATTTAACAGCTATCAGAGACAGCTTTCTAGTAAAGAGGAAAATTGCTTCCCCCTGCATCACTATCGTGTCCCCAAACACAGCCATTAGAGAAGCCCAATAAAAAGAGATCTATTGCTGCGAGCCAACCCTGGCGAGAATTTAAACAAACTGTATTTTGAGCAGAAGCAGATCCAGATGGATCCCTTCATCCAAGACAGGCTGCTCCGTCCAAAACTGTAGCGATTCATATCCCAAGGCTCCTTTTGCTAGTAGTTGCTACCACAGCTGCTATCTTGACAACAAAACACGACAAGCTTTATGCAACGTTGGGACATGAGCTGCAGCAAGAAAGCCAGGATAAGCGACTCCTTTGTTCTGACGAACTGGTCACAAGATGGTTTCCCCATTTTAAACTGCACTGCATTATGCTAACTTGCGTACACACTCCCACCGCCATTCCAGCACTAGGCATAGAGATGCTCTAGTCCATACAATAGCTAAGAAGATGAATAGACATTCTTGCCTTGAGGAGAGAAAGTAAAGTATCAGTGGTTCATCACAAACGAAGTTCAGCACATGGTGGTTAATCCCACTCAAGCACCAAACTCACCAGAACCAAGAGGGGAAGGGAGGTAGCAGCCAAGGAAACGCGCTCAGAGCACCAGAACATTACATTTTAAAATCAAGAAACAGTAATGTAACCTCTGATCTACAAACAAGAGATGCACTACCGAAGTAAAATAATCTGGTTGAAACTATTGGTATGTCCTGTTTTGCACACGGTCTTCAATTGTTTGGTGCACTTCTTGTAACACCCAACTTGTCCACACGGACATATAAATGAATAATCTTCTTCGCCCCCCCATGGTGTTATCAGGTCAGAATTAAAGAAGATGTCAGAACTCTTACAGACTGACATGGATTATATGAAAGCTCCACTGGAAAAATCATACTTTTATCAGACACACACGTCTACTAACTGAAAGATTTTTAATCTGCCTTCAATTGAGCATCCAGGTACCATACACAAATATTAAGAACGTCAGCACCGACTGGAAGTACCATTAATTCCACATGTCCATCACTTATGCTACTTTCTTCTGAGGCCAGGATCAAAAGTGATGGCACTGCAGAAGTAAGGGGTTTCTTAGGAGTATATTACCCGGCCACTATTCCAGGAGTTTAGAAGATTGACGTAATGGTTTTAAGTCAAGAGACAAATGGCAAATCCAACAAATCCATATAATATTAGAAAACGGTCTTCCCTTAATAACCAATTCAAAAGCCCTGACTGTGCCCATCATTTCACATGCGTGTCAGCTCTCTTAGTAAGAGAGTCTCTATTTGGACTATTTGGGAGAACAGGTATTTTCCCTGTAAGTTCCTAGTAAAGGGACAAATGGCCACCTCCCCCTCCACGAACAATCCAAACTTCAGCTCTGCCCTCCCATCACCACCCCCATCCTCCAGAAGGAATTCTGCAAAACTCTACTTGAATTGCTGGTCTTTGGTACTCCTTGTTTTAGCCAGGAATCTCTCCGCCAACTTCTCCAAGTTCCTTGAGTAATCCATCTCGATCTCTGCCTTCTTGCGGAAGAAATCCTGCAGGTCCTGCAGTAGCTGGACCCGGAGCTCACACTGTTGGTCAAGGCATTTCAGCTGCTCGATGAGCTGAGCACGAATCTCTGAGCAAAGAGAAAATGAAATGACATTCCAAGGGTTAAACAAACACCACAATGAAAAGCCAAATGATATAAGAGTTACCTAGTAAATCAAGGCTAAAATAGGTCTCCCTCCCCACCACGAGATCAACCAAAGCACCTGATTACCTGTATCCCATAGTTAGAAAATGGTCAGCTACAGCACTAAAGTAAGGCACCCAGGAACTCAATACAGTACACTTACATACAAAGCCTTATTGCAGAAAATGTCATCTATCAGAGTGTCAAGGAAATATCTGGCATTAAGAAATTGTCACTGCCCAAAAGGGTCTTGAAACTCGACCTTGGTAAGGGCTGTGAAGCTGTAACCTCCCCCCCTGCATCTCAAAAGTCACTCCAGGAAGTCTCTTGATCCAAGTCTTTTGCTGACTGTTCTTGAGGCAAAACCAGAGGTGCTCTGTGTGTCGGGTACTCCCAAAAGACATCAGTTTGGGATTATTCAGTTAACTGAGGGGGCTCTGATTGAGCAACCTTCATTAACAAGACAGCACCAAACTGAGAAGACACTTGTTTGAAGAAGCCCGAGAGCATTTCCACTTGCAAAAGGCCTCCAAAAGGAAGATTTTTTTCCTTCAAAAAAAATAAAATTGATCTCTGAATGTGTGTATATGTACACAACCCTCAAGCACTTTCAGGTACATGTGTTTTCATACTGTTTATGAAGCAGAATTATTTACAGCAATGCCAGTTTGCATTCATGTGTTGTATTTTATCTAGGATTTCAAGGCATTTTACAAAATGTGAAATCGACCCTCAAAGCCTTTGAAGATAGGCTGTTAATCTCATTTTACTGATGGAGAAAATGAAGCAAAGAATACTTAATGAGTAGCCCACATTCACACAGCGAATTAGAGATGTCACCGTCCTCTGTTTTGTTTTTGTTTTTTTTAAATCAGTACTGGTGGCTATTGATTTAGGCGAAGAATACTAGGCTTCCAAGTCTAGTAATTAACACCACAACAAGAAAACAACAAAATATGTACTTTCATCTGAGGATCTCTGGGCACTGAAACATTAATTAGAGCAGCCTATTATCACTGGTGATTTGCTTCTGCTGCAGCGGCGGCTGGTTCCCCAGGGTTTAAAAAAAAAAAAAAAAAAAAAAAAAAAAAAATTCCCGGACCAAATAAAAAAA